AGAAGGGGTTTCACTCTGTTGGCCAGGCTGGTCTCAAACTCCTGATCTCAAGTGACCTGCCCACCTCAGCCTCCCAAAGGTGTGAGCCACCATGCCTGGCCACTGAATATAATTTGAACTTAAATTTGAGAAACTATTACTTTAGGTTCTAATTCATTGATGAGCTTTGTAGATATGGATGTTATGTTAAGGTTTTAGAAATCTTACTAGTGGTCCCAAAATATGCAGAGCCTCAAAGTACTTTTTTTTTTTTATTATAGAAAACATTTTAGCATTAATTTTAAGACACAAATTTTGAAGGTTGCTGTATGTCAACACCTCAGTATTTGCTTATGTGGTACTATACTAATTTATGTGGCAGTGTCTAAAAGTTGATAAGGTGAAAATTTAGTTTCATTTCTATATTAAAATAGCATGCTACCTTGACAGCTAAAAGGAAAGCCATGGCAAAGAGCAGCAGTTGTTGCCTCTAAAGTCATACTTTAACACACTTTTTTTTTTGTTTTGCCACTGCTTTGGAAAAAAAGTGCAGTGGCCTTTTGTTTCCTTAATTTAGTTTAAAGGAAAATGGAAGAAGTCCTCTATGAAGTTTCTTTGTTTACTTGTTTGTATTGAAGTTGTGTTAGTGTTCAAAATACTTAAGAGTATCTGATAGCTTGATGTGGTAGGAAGCAACACAGAGAAATCATGATTTTAGATACAGACAAATCCCAACTGTACCATTTATTTATTCTTTGATAACTCCTTAACTTCTCTGTCTTCCTATAAGAAATTAGAGTTATTACTATTAACCTAGTAAGATGTGGAAGTTAATTCTGTGTTGATATAACTGTGTCTTAATAGAGTTTTTAAATAGTTTTGATATAATTCTAGAGTTTCAGAAAAGTGGCAAAAAATAGTACAAGAATCCACATATATCCGTCACTAAGATTTCCTGCATGCTGACGTTTTAAAACCACATTTGTGTTACCATTCTTTCCTTCCTTTCTCTATACTTATAGTAAGGTCTTTTTCTGACCCACTTATGAGTAAGTTGCAGGCATGATGTCCCTTTACCTGTAAATATTCTAGAATGAATTTCCTACATCCAAGACCATTTTCTTATATAACACAGTAAAATTGTCAAAGTCAGCAAATTAATGCCAGTACAATATTATCTAATCTACAGACCTTACTCAGATGTTCATAGTTGTTCTACCAGTGCTATTAGATCTGTTCTAATCTTTGTATTAGATCTTTCATTGTATTTAGGTAGCAAGGTTCTTTAGTCTCTTTTAATGCGGACATTTCCTCAGTCTTTGTTTTTCATAACCCTGAAATTTTTTAAAAGTACAGGTCATTTATTTTTTAGAATGTCCCTTAGGATGTATTTGTCTGTAAATTTGAGTTGTGAATTTTTAGCAGAAACATCCAGAAGTGATGTTTTATCCTTTGCAGTACATATCAGAAAACACATGATATCAAATCAACCCATTACTGGTGATATAAAATCTGATTTGATTGTGGTGTTATCTTTCAGATTTTTTTACATTTGTCATTTATCCTTTTACACAGCTGAGCCTTGAACAACACAGGCTTTAGGGATGCTGATCCCTGTGCAGTAGAAAATCCAAGCCTAACTTTTGACTCTCCGTAAGCCTAACTACTGATAGTCTGCTGTTGACCAGAAGCCTTACTGATAACATAAACAGTTGATTGACACATATTTTTGTATTTGATATGTATTATATACTATATTCTTATAATAAAGCAAGCTAGAGAAAAGAAAATGCTAAAAAAAATCATAAAAGAAAATATGTTTACTCTTCATTAAGTGGAAGTAGATCATCATGAAGGTCTTCATTCTTGCTGTCTTCATGTTGAGTAGTAAGCTGAAGAGGAAGAAGAGGGATTGGTCTTGCTATCGCAGAGGTGGAAGAAAAACTTGAGTTTAAGGGTACCCACTCACCCAGCTCAAGCCCCTGTTGTTCAAGGATCCGCTGTAATCAATAGGCTTCTCTTGTGAAGATACTTTGAGACTGTAAATAACCTGTTTCTTCTTAAACTATCAAACTTCCATCCACTAGTTTTAGCATCTATTAGTGGTTCTTTTCCAAAACCATTTTTGTTTTTTGTTTTTTTGAGATGAGTGTCATTCTGTCGCCTAAACTGGAGTGCAGTGGTGCAGTCTTGACACACTGCACCCTCTGCTTCCCAGGCTCAAGTGATTGTCCAGCTTCAGCCTCCCATGTAGCTGGGACTACAGGCATGAGCCACCAATGCCTGGCTAATTTTTGTATTTTTTGTAGATACAGGGTTCCACCATGTTACCCAGGCTAGTCTTGAACTCCTGCACTCAAAGTGATCCGCCCAGTTCGGCCTCCCAAAGTGCTAGGATTATAGCCACCACACCCGGCCTGAAACAATTATTACCATGGTGACTGCCAAGTACATGATATTAGAATTTTTGACTGATTATTTGTAGTGGCCAAACACAACTGGATATTATGCTTTGAATATCTAGATTTGCTTAGCAACGAATTATTGAGAGAGAGTTGTTTTCAGTCATTTGAAGGGTTTCTTTGTTTTGTTTTGTTTTTGTTTTTTGTTTTGCAAAGAGTAGGAAGACACAATTTATGTTGCTTCAGCAGGCAGAATTACAGCAACAGGGCAAAAGTTACAAGTAGGAATACTTCAGTACTTCATATGTTTTTAACTTCTAGTGGTACTCTCCCACACTGGCACATACCACCTTAGAAAGCAGTGTATTTTCTGCATGGGGGGAATGTTTCTCTGTTTCTTGAATGTCTGCTATGGTACCACCTCTGTGCCAGGCAACCTTGTGCATCTACTTATGTAATTTGTTTTATAGATGAAGGAAGAGTCAGTTGCACAATTCAGCTAAATCCATGTCTTACTGATTTCAGGGCTCTTCCTCTTTGTACTACATTTTATGGCTAGATGAGGAAGATTCAGTATTTCAAGGGTGGGATGGATTCAGTAATTCTTAATATCATTTCCAAAACCTGTGATTCTGTGAGTATGTCTGTTGCTTTGTATCATGTGCTACTTGATTTCCAGATACTGCTAAACTATAACATACTATGTTTTTTAAGGCTAGTCAAGTAAAGCAGTGGGAGTGAAGAAGCAACAAAGAAATCTATAACTGGTTGTGGTCAATTAGTTGTAAACACCACTGCACTCGGACCAGCCTATAACATACTCTTTTTAAGAACCATTTCTGTGTCTCTCAGCAGTAGATTTGTAATTTTAATTATGGCACATGGGTCGACATCAGAATTATTTTTGAGCTAGGTTGTTTAATTGTGGATGTTTAGGACTTTGATATTCAAATTCTGGTAGGATGTGGAAGTCAGCAAGTTTGTCTTTAGACAAAATAAGCTCAGTTTTGCATCTCTTGGACTTCAGAGGTGGTAGGAGTACATCTACTAAAAGTGCCCCTCAGACAGCTAGAAATGTAGGTCAAGAGCTTCAGGGGGAGTTTAGGAATTAGGTAGAGATTTAGGAATTACCTGCAGAAAGGATAATTGAAGAAAATGCGTTTGAATATATAAATAATTTCCAATGGAGCAAGATTAGAGAGAATAGGACCAAGGACATACTTTCAGCTTTCAAATTTTGAAATACTTAGTATTTCCAAGACTAGAGGAAAAGGAGGACTGTCGATATGTCCAGGGATGGAGGAAGGAGAGTAGGACCAAAGTGAGACATGTTTTTCTTCTAGGAGCTTAACAGTTTTTTAGAAAAAATTGTAATAAAAATGAACAGTTGGGAGCTAGATACTTTTCAAGCTGTGTCATAATGGAGGTGGCCTAATCTTAGAAGAGGAGGGAGAGATTAATGAGAAAGGCTTGAAATAATAAAATATTTTAAAATCCAGAGTTATTAAGCAATACAAAATGAGAGAAGAAAAAAGAGGCTGTGAGTAATGATAGAATTAAAATAATTGTAGTTATTTCCTTTGTCATAGTCTCACCTACATGCAGATTGGAAACTGAAAAACAGAAGAAATATGTGGGAAATAACAGGGTGGGAAAAAGTACTGTATCCCTCAACCGAAATGTTTGATACCAAAGTGTTTGGGATTTGGGATTTTTTTCCTGGATTTTGGAATATTTGCATATACTTTTAGTTGAGCATCCCAAATTTGAAAATTCAAAATCAATGGTTCAAAATCTGAAACTTTTTGAGTGCCAGTATGACATACAAAGAAAATACTCATTGGCACATTTTGGATTTCAGATTTTCAGATTTGAGATGTTCAACCTGTACCTTTAAGGAGTCTCTAGAGTTAGAGCTAGAAACACAAAGGAGAATTTTTCTACAAACTTTGTGCATTGAGTGTGGCAGCCTGTTGGAAGAGGTAGTGGTATCTTAACTACTCATCTTTAGCATCTCACTTTTCTGTTGGGTTCCTCTTGCCCCTAACCCTATAAGTTGACACTAAAATATTTTAAGGTTTTATGTTCACAGCATGCTTATTGGCTTGCCAGTGTGCTAATATAATTATGTCCTCAGCATAAGATTTCCTGAATCATAGTTGTGAGTTTTGTTTTTCTGTTCTTTTTTTTTTTTTTCCAGCCTATTTGATGGCTTTGCAGATGGACTAGGAGTTGCTGAAGCTATTTCATATGTGGATCCTCAGTTCCTTACCTACATGGCACTAGAAGAACGCTTAGCTCAGGCTATGGAGGTAATGTTTGCAACTCTGATGTCCATATATAAATTGATGGGATACAAAATGATAACAGTTAAAGGTTTAAAGGGTTTTTAGACTACTCTTAAGAAAAGATGAATCTTTTTCCTATCAGTAACAGTTATTGAATAATGATTGTCACCAGTATGTGTATACAAATTATACTTGATATCCTGCTAGATTGCCTGAGATTGCAGTATTTATTAGTTTTTACTACAGAATGGAAAACATCTTGCTTACATTTAGAAAATATATTTTTTTCTAATGAATTATAAAAGTATAAGAGTGAATGTCTTATATACACATGCATAGGTGTATTTGTGAAATGCAGTTGAAGCTAGGGATATATTACAAATCTTACTCTTTTTTTTCTCATGGCTTCTAAATACTATCCAGCTGCCTAATGCATTTAGGAAATTTGGCCCCCTTTATCTCCACTTAAATAAATGAGGCATACATGCTGCCTAAGTTTCTCGTTTTCTTTTTGTTATTTAACTAAAAGAGAAAAACTTGTTCTTAAATGTATTTGTCTAAGTTCAAAGCCCAAGTATTTTCATGTTTGGGAACTACCGCTATACCAGTGGGTTTCATTAAAAGAAGTCTTTCTTTAAATCACGATTTCCAAAGTGATTTTCAAAATATAGGCACAGAAATAACTGGTGAATGAGTTACAGGTGAGAGAACACAATAATTGATAAGAACTTTTAGGAGCACTGTAATATATTTTGTCTTTAAATTTTTAGAAAGTCCAGTTTATGTATTTATTTATTTTTGAGACAAGATCTTGCTCTGTCGCTCAGGCTGGAGTGCAGTGGTGCAATCATAGCTTACTACAGCCCTGAACAGCCCTGAACTTCTGGGCTCAAAGGATCAGCCCACCTTAGCCTCTCTTAAGTAGCGGGGACTACGTGTATTGGCCGTCACACCTGGTTTGGGTTTTTCGTGGAGTTTTTTGGTAGAGATAACGTCTCATTATGTTACCCAGGCTGGTCTCAAACTCCTGCTCTGAAGCGATCTTTGGTCTCCCTCTGGGATTAGAGACTTGAGCCACCATGCCTAGCCAGAAAGTCTAGTTTAGATTGACAAATATAGATAGCAGGTACCTATCTAATATCTATATATTTAATAATATATTTATATATCTAACATTATGACTATATAATATATAATATAGATTAGATCTATTATATCTCTATTAGATATATTTGTCTTTAAATTATCTCTAATATGTAACATATAATAGAGATCTGTTAGCTATATAATATATAACATCTATCAATTTATATCTAATATCTATAGATACTAGATAGTTATTTATCAGCTCACACATGTATGCATGCATATACATGTTCACATACATTTATGCTAGTTCTGCTTTGTCGTTACTTTTTTTAGCGTATGTCATTTTCCATGGAGATTGCTTTCAATTATGCTTTACGGTGAATGTTTTTCTCAAAGTAACCATAGCAGAAATACTCTATACTAGGAAAAAAGTCAGAAAGAACATCATGAGACATGATACACTTAGGTTTTTCCCAGATTGTTTAACCTGCCTTGGAAAATTCTGACACATAAGAAATAGTGGTATAACATGGAAACTTGTATCAGAAATATAATATATAAAGATTAAGGACTACTCATTTCTTCTAGCTAAATAGCTCTTTGAGTGATCTATTCTAGGGTCTGATTTCACAATACTTAGTCTTTCGTTTTATGCTGGTGGTTTGTGATTTCCTACAATATCGAGATAACTTTAAAAAAAGTATTTAGAATAAAATGTTTTATTGTTTATTATTAGTGGGGAATGTGACATTTGGCATCTCGAAAGAAGAGCCTGAGAGATTGGCCTTGAGAGGTCATGCTAGGTAAAGGCATTAGCAGTGAACTAAGACAAGAGGCAAGCAAGAGCTTGCAGTCTCAAACATTGCTGGCTTCTACTAATAGTGAACCAGTGGCATTATTCCTACCAGTCTATACTTCTGCCTCTGTTTAATAGGCTTTAAGCATCTCCCTTCTCTAAAGCTTATCAGCTTCTTCACATTTTAATGCTCTGATTTAATTTATTTGAATTTGATTGAGATGTTTCACTCCTAGAAAATCAGTACAGTTATGTCACTCTCCAGAAATCTATTTTCTATGTTCAATATGGATTTGTTTAATCATTTTTTTAAATGAAACAAAAATAATGTATGATTATTTCTTTTATATTTAACACTAACATTCTTAAATGAAACAAAAACAAACTGCTTGTTTTTGTTTGTTTCTCAAGCAACCCTGTATCTTTTTGGAAGGTATACCTTTTCATTCTGTTATTTTTCCAATATTAGATTGAGCTTTCTTTTCAGGTAGTGGCTTTTGGTGAAAATATTGGCGGTGTGTATTTGTCTCCTTATATCTGTGTCTCTAATTTGAGTGAGGAGAGGGTAAAACATCAAACATTTTTAACTTTTTGAAGTGATGATATTAAAGATTCTACTTTTCAAAATGGATTTTGAAAAAATATCTCCTTGCACATTTATGTTGACATCTAAAAATTTTCAGCATAAATCTAGGTAGTATTATTTACTTTGCTAGAAAAATGTTTAAAATTTCTAATGTAAAAAGTGGTTAAATTGAGTTACAATTAAGGAAATTCATCTAATGAGATGGAGGAGTTTTTTTTTTTTTTTTTTTCCTCCCCACCCTTCTCAGGACTTTTCCTTTCTCAATTATGAGTGATTTTTATTGCTGGAATGAAACACATTTCAGCATAAGTTTTACTTCTGATTTTCATCTTATGAATGTAAGGTTGAAAAACCTTGTTCACCTAAATAAATTAATAGGAATGGAAGGAGTAACGGCATTGTCACTAAATTCTTGAGACATTTGCCCAAAATCACGTCAACTTAACAAGTTGTTTAGATATTCCTTAGATTCCTTCTGTTGTTGTTGTTTTTTTAAAGCAAAGGATTGGAAAAATTTTTGTTATTTAAATATTTAAATCTCAAAAAGATTTGTTATTTAGTCATTAGAGTTCACTTCTACCCCAGTACTTTACATTGTCCCTCTGAATGGATAAGACGTATGCTTTTATTTATAAAGTGGAAGAAAGGCAAGTATAAATAGAATGTTAGAACAGAGAACCAGTTTGATATACTGCAGGTGCATTCTTATGTGGATCAGTTTGAAGAAAGATTACCTATGAAACCTTACTGAAACTGATTATCCTAAGACTGTCCATACCCATGGCGGGGGTGGGGGGCCGTTGTAAAGTCTTTACATACAGTAGCACCTGTATATACCCAGGTGTAGGCACTAGAAAGGCAGTAAGGTGGAGGCTAAGAAGCTTTTGTGTTAAAGAGTTAGGCCGCATGACCTGGGACAATTCCTTTAACTTCTCTAAGCTTTAGCTGCCTCATTTAAAATAGGAATAATAAAATCTGCCTCATGGATTATTGTGAGAGTGTGTTAAAGCCTTTAGCAAAATACCTCGGTTGTATTGGGAAGCTCTCAGTAAATGGCATATTCCTATAGGTTTATTCAAATCAACAGTGAACTAACTGGTGTAATCTAGTCAACAAATCTGGATTCAGGGTGGTCATTCAGAATCAGTATTGCTATCTTCATTCTTTAAAAACTGAATTGTATTTTATTTTTTAGAACAAAATATTGTGCTGATAAAGGATTATGCAACTTTAAACCTACCTATATTCCAGATTGAGTGATTTCGGCAAGTTGTCTTTCTGACTCTTGGACTAACTTTTGTAAATACATTGTACTGCTTAAAGGTGTAGATAGTTTTTATTATTATTATTATTATAGATTTTCATAGCAGTTGCTGTAAAATTGTCTCTTTTGCTTGTGTTGCTTATAAGTGATCCTGAATCATCTTAAATATATGACCGTACCAAGGGCAATAAATTATTTTTACATATATGAAATTCTGGTGTTATTAGCACTGCAAATGTGCAGTTAATCATTAGAAAGAGAGAACCCATTGAGATAAACATATATCAAAGCATAATTAGCCTGGAATAACCTCTAAAAATAGAAGTTACTATAAATAATATCCTTTATTCTGTTTATGTGTAGCACAGCCGAGTTCTTGCAAGCAGGTTCTGTCTTGAGTAGTACCTGGGGAATTAGAGGAGATTCATAATTGTAGCTGGGTAAGAAGGAAAGGGACAGATAACAGGATCTTACCTCCCATCTCCTGTCTCCCAAAGGGAAAGTTCAGTTTAAAGAATTCTAAACTAGAACAAAGAAGTAGAGTAACAAGGGATTGGCTAGGAGGAAATAAAGATAATTCTAAAGAATATGGGAAAAGCACATATAAGGAGTAGCCACCATCTGTCAGGCAAAGCTAGGACACCAAGGAAGAGTCCCTAGTCCATCTCAGGGCTGAGGTCCAGACCTTGATGGAAATGGCATAGGTGGCTTGCTATATGACAGAGAAGTCACTATGGGATGTGCTGGTGGAAGTTGCTGGAAGTCAGCCCTCTTAGGGTACTAAGGAAAGCTGTTCATCGGAAGGTGTCTAACTGGAATTGCTGTGCTGCAGAACTATTCAACATGGGTGGTGGGGGAGGCTGCTGGCTACTAAGTGCATTACAGAAACTGGCTGCTGGAGAAGCTGTGTGCACTATAAGAATCTAGTGCTAGAGAAAGCCACAAACAGCACACTAGTCCTGGTGTGCTCTCTGTCAAGCAAGCACACTGGGACAGAAGAAAAGCCCTTTCCTCCAGGAGTGTTCTTCAGCATCCTCTATGAAAAAAGCTTAGCATCATGCCAGGTGTTAGGAGGGAAAGTATTAAAATGGTCCGGATTTTCACAGAGCTGACACAATAGTAAATTTGGATTTGTGGAGCAGTAATTCTGTAAATGGAACATTCGAGCCCTTTGACAACTTGGCTTCCATGTATACCTTTCAATGCACATTTAAATTTCTATCCATCAATACAATTGTATTTCCACCCACACCCAACAAAATACAACTATTAGTTTCACTCATTATCCAGAATGAGCAGATGACTAGTTCCAAGAGTCATTGTATCCATCACTAGCTATGCATTACTCCACAAATTCATAATCACACTGAATATTATCTTATATAAAGACTAAATTGCAAATTTATCTTACAGCAACTGTCATATGAAATAGAAATAGGAAAGAGAAAAAGTAAATTGTTGACATATACAAATAAGCGCATACATAAAACAAGCAAATAAAAAATAATATGCAAAATTACTAATCCTTATTTCTGGTCATGAGGCTGTAAATGATAACTAACTACAACTTCCTTCTTCCATGACCCATTCATATTTTCCTTGCCCTCATCCAGAAGCTCACTCAGCTGGTTAGCATTCTTTACTTGGTAGAGTAACCCAAACATTGTTTATATCTTCAGTTGTTGTTGTTGTTGTTGTTTGGCTGCTACAGTATTCTGGTAACTTTCCT